CCCGCTCCAGCCCCGCTCCCATTCCCGTTCCCGTCACCCCGACCTTCTCCTCTCTCTCTCTCTCTCTCTCCCTCTCTCTCTCTCTCTCTCTCGCTCGCTCGCTGTGTGTGTGTGTGTGTGTGTGTGTGTGCGTGTGTTGTCATATTCGCAATACAAAACTCGGTAAAAAAAGCATGACTGTGCCGAACAGACTGTTTCGTCGGACTTTCACCGACTCATCAGGAGGTTGAACCTGGACAGACAGTCTGCCCAGGATGCATTTGACTGATGGATAACGACCCACCGCATCGCCCAGAGTTGTGTGTGTGTGTGTGTGTGTGTGTGTGTGTGTGTGTGTGTGTGTTTATCTACACGCAGATACACAACCCCTCAACAAAGAACCACGCACTCACGCACACATTCACACCCACACGCCAGCCACGCACACAAGCTCACACGCACACACGCGCACGCGCACACTCACACACGCACACACGCACGTACGCACGTACGCACACGCACACACACACACACACGCACACACGCATGTACACCACTTGCACACATGGAAGGACCGTACAGATCGAGGTGTATAGACTTACGCACTCAAGTCGTCTACACTCGCGCGCAACACAACAAACGAAACTGACAGTCGAAGCCCATGTCCTCTCTCTCCTTCAGCGAAGGAGCAGTTGATCGATAGGCGTTGATGGTAATTCCATTTAGACGCTCCCAATCACGTCAAGGGCATCCTAAAACAGTGAACCGGAGTCATCATCCATTGGCAAGCCAAATTTGGTTGGAATAAAAAGCAAACAAACCATGTCGAGCTTTTGAAGGTTATTTCAGATCATAACCTGTCCTCAGCAGTCATCTGATACCCAATGACGGCCAGATTCAGATGCAATAGTCCTTGTAAGAGAATGGCCCCCTAACTCGATGACTGACTGATCAACAAAAACATCCACCTTACTACCAGTAGGCGATCGCGTCATCACAGCAAACGGGACACCTGCACTCTCATCTGGAGGCCCCCCTCCGACTAAGGGAGACTTGTCAAGGGAACGCTCCCTCACTGACATTCACTTCGGAGCCTTCGACAAACTGTATCTCCTCTCTCCTCTCCTCTCATCCAGCCTGCCACCTTCACCTTCAATCCCGTCCCTCTCACCTTTTCAACTCCCGCGCATTCACCTCTCACCAATTCTACCTCCTCAAAACAGCCACACTCACAAATGGCCCCTTCCTCCTTCTCTCTCTCTCTCTCTCTCTCTCTCTCTCTCTCTCTCTCTCTCTCTCTCTCTCGTATATGTGTGTGCATGCCGCACTCACTAGCAAATAAAGGCGGGCATCCATCTCTCTCTCTCTCTCTCTCTCTCTCTCTCTCTCTCTCTCTCTCTCTCTCTCTCTCTCTCTGTGTCTGTCTGTCTGTCTCTCTCTCTCTCTCTTGTATGTGTGTGTGCATGTCGCACTCACTAGCAAATAAAGGCGGGCATCCTTCCGTCACACCCACACCCAGACAGTGAAGCCCTGTGAGAGAGGAGAGCACCAGACACGCACGTCCGTAGCGAGGTCTTGAAAGTTCAGGGCGCAAGGGAACACGACGACTACAGATAACTTCAGGACAACAGGATGAACGAGCTGCCCTGCCACTCATTTACTACGCGCCATTTCTTCACTGCTTGATCATTTGCAGCCGTCGGATGAATCGCCGCCGTGCGAAAACGCGCACTGTTCGCGGAGGCCAGCAGTCGTCAACACGAATGACCATGGCATACTACTGTCCCGCGCTGGCTGCAGACAGCTGAATAGCTGATGCTTGCACGACCTCGGTATTGTCGACCGTCTTAGAGGTGAGAGCCGCCGAACACTGCCATCGCCACGTCAATCTCAGCAGCTCTGTCCTGGGGCTAGGTCCCACTTGCACGAATTAACAGATAGAGACCGTAGATAGCACAGATCAACGGCCAGAATCTCGTAATCCGTGCAAGTGGGACCTTGCCCCTGCAGCTGGCTGTCCCTGCGGTCTTAAGTGGGTGGCGTTCCACATGACCTGTCCTGGGAAGCGCCGCACAGAGTACTGGGGGTGATGGCACATCGTCCTGGGAAGCGCCGCACATAGTACTGGGGGTGATGTCACATCGTCCTGGGAAGCGCCGCACAGAGTACTGGGGGTGATGTCACCGATGTGTCTCTGGGAAGGGTGATCTCCCTCGGGGTATAATGACCGTACGTTGTATTCGGGTGAAGAAGGGTAGCCCGGGGGCTCAGCTGAGAGCTCTTTTTCGCAACCTGAACCTGCCACCTGAAGCTAAAAGAATGGCCGAGAGCCCATAACGCACCCTGAAAAGGAAGTATACAAGGTATGTTTCCGGCCAGATACAGTCAGAATGAGGGTGCGCTGCGTTCGGGGGAAGCCGGTAGCAATGGACGAAGGGACAGTGGCTGCCCTACCGTCTTCCCCCAAACATAACGCACCCTGAAAAGGAAAGTATACAAGGTATCTTTCCGGCCAGATACAGTCAGAATGAGGGTGCGTTGTGTTCGGGGGCAAGCCAGTAGCAATGGACGAAGGGACAGTGGCTGAACTTCTATCTCGACTATCGAAGGTCAGTATATCTGTTTATTTATTCGAGCTACCGTCTGCGCCCCGAATAGAACAGACGGTCATTGTCACTGTATCTACAAAACAAGTTGGACCACATACAGTTATAATGACCTTCCGTGCTGTTCGCGGGAAGACGGTAGCTCTCCCCCCCGGGCAAGCCCTCACAAAGTCAGGGAATCCGAACTTGAGGGATATCGGCAAGGGGCCAGGTCCCACTAGCAGCGTTGAGTTTCCTCAACGTCTGAACTGGACGTGTTCTGTGGATATGTGCAGAAATCGCGTTGAGTTTTCTCAACCGCACATCTCCACGAACGCGTCCAGATTCAGGCGTTGAGGAAACTCAACGCTGGCAGTGGGATCTCGGCAAAAGCACTCGAAGCGAGGCAATCAGGGTGTGAACACGAAAGCGGACACAAAGGGCCACTCGCTGCACTACTCTCCACATGCGCAAAAGACAAAACAAATATGGCGGTGTATCTTTCCATGTTCTAGCAGAAGATTCGTTCTCGTTTTGCACATCTGGAGAGTAGAGTGCAGCGCGTCCCAAATTCCCCAACCCCTGTCCTTTGGGACATCCGTTAAAATTGGAACGATACAGAGAAGATTAGCATGGCCCCTGCGCAAGGATGACACGCATAAATCGAGAAATGGTCCAAATTTAAATTTAAAAAAAAAAAAAAAAAAAAAATCCCCAACCCGTGCAAGCACCAGGGGCAAGGTCCCACTTGCGCCGATCAGGAGATTTCGGCCGTTCATCTTTGCTATCTACGGTCAATATCTCTTAATTCGTGCAAGTGGGACCTAGCACCAGGCGAGAGAGCATCTGGAAGAGGAGAGTTGGGATTCTGCGCTCCCGATGCCGAACCTGAACCTGAGCATGAAACCCACAGTGCCGAAACAGTAGGATGCGGGCGACCTTTGGGGGGGGAGGGGGAGGGGGAGGGGGCCAACTGAGTCGGAACCAGCTCTGCGCGAGAGTCCTGCGCCACTGACTGGAGAGCGGAACCTGTCTGTGGAAGTCTGCTGCAGCCCAGAGGGACTAAGGGCATGCTCCCGCTAAGACCTTCCTCCATTCATCTTTCCCGTAATGAGAGCCAGGTTCGTTGTGAAAACTCCCGATGCGATATGCGAAAACAGTGCATCTCAGACTGGCACCATCCAACGGCCCACAGCCCCTGACCAAAAAACAAAAGGGCACACTCACACTAGCTCTGTTTTACTTATATCTGGACGGAATTGCAGCCAGGTGCATACGGGTGTGGCCAGGCAGATAACATTTACTAAAATAGTGCCAATTGTGAGTACGCCAGAAACCTGAGTCCTCTCCGCCTCACCACTCTGCCACTCTGCCGCTCTGCCACTCGGTGCATTAGACCCCGCAGATCCGTTCAGAATGTCAAACTGACGATGCTGTAAGACTGTAAGAAAGATATCGTCGGTCATCTCACTCTCACTATAGACTTCCTCTCCTGCTTAGTCCCCTCCCTCCGCCTGAGGAAATACGCTTCTCCCCTTTGTTTTGCCCTCGAGCAGAACTAGGGCGAGAATCACAGTTGGAGTTAAGTCCATCGGAAACGACAGAAGAAGGACCAGGAGCAGGAGAGGGATTTCGGTGACCGCCGTGCTTAGGAACGCTGAGACTCATCGGAGCTCCCTGATCCCGCCGAGGCGAAGGCGCCGGCGACTTATCAATCTTCTCCCTGCTGTTGGTGCTGCCGCTGCTGCAGTCACTACTCTTACTGCAGCTCCTGCAACTACCGTAGGTCGTGCAACTACTGCAGCTACCACTACCGCTACCGGTCGTAGCGACTCTACCACTGTAACCATCAGCAGCAGCAGCAGGAGCGCGCGTACCAGTGCCCGCACCAGCACCACCACAATTAGCGGCATCATGACCAGCACCAGCAGCGGTACCATACTCCGGGGGACCACCACCAGCACCACTGGCAGCAAGGCCAGCCCGACTACGACTTCTGCCACAAACATTGCACGGATTCGTTGTAGTACTGCTTGTGGTACTGCTGCTGCCATTCCTGCTTATGATGCCACTGCCTCCGCAGTCGCACTGATTGGCAGAATTGCTACCGGTCGTCGTCGTCGTTCTACCGCTACTACCACCCCTCGGGGTGCCACTACTGGTGGCGTTGGTCGCGTCTCGTCCCCGGGGGCTGGGGGGTGACAAGGAGATCGGAGACTTCTGATTGGCAGAGGAGCTTGTGGAAGGCGGCAGGTCGAAATTCCAGTTCTTGCACTCCATCTTGGTCGCCATGCTGTCCCGTTTGGCTTTCTGGTTCGGGTCGGCAGTGCAGCCTGCGTCCTTGGGCGGGGGGGCCTTGAGCGTCGTTGTGCTCATCGATCGCAGGGAGAAAGGAGGGACAGCTTGCAGCACATGACGGACCAGGTAGTCCGCGGAACGGGCTTGTTTGAAGAAAGGGTTCTTGAGGAGTTTCTCGGCCGTGGGCCTTTTCTGCGGGTCCTTGACTAGGCAGCTGGCTACCATCTCCTTGAAAGCCTTGCTGTACTTCCTCTCATCGTCATCATCCAGGGTGGGCGGCTCGTGTTCCAGAGTCATCAGCAGAATCTTGATGGCTGGGAACATGGCTAGCGGCGCCCGTCCCCTGGCCAGCTCAATGGCCGTGATGCCGAAGGACCAAATATCGGCCTTGAAGTCGTACCCCTGTCTTTGCTCCATCACCTCCGGGGCCATCCAACAAGGGGTGCCCACAAACGTCTGCCTGGGCTTCAGCTTTGTACCTGTGCTGTCTAGCATGTAGGCCGACACGCCGAAATCTGCCAGCTTGACGGCGCCATTGCCATCGATCAGTATGTTCCCAGCCTTCACGTCTCTGTGGATAAGTCCCTTCTTGTGCAGGTAGTCCAGCGCCTTGAGCGTTTCCTTGAGAATGGTGGCAATCACCGCCTCGTCGAAGCCATCTCGAAAACCCGCCTTCATCACCTGCAGACACGACCCCCCTGACAAGAAGGGCATTACCACCCACAAGTAATGGCCTTCCACGAACGAGCAGTGGGCTTTCACAACGTTAGGATGATCTATCAGTCTCATGGTCTGCGTTTCTTTCCGTATGTCATCAAGATTGCTACTGCAACTCTCCAAATCTATCACCTTAACGGCTACGGCCTCGTTCAGTGGAAGGCACAGAGCTCTGTACACGATCGCGCCTTCCCCTCGACCGCAGTCTTCCTGCAGATCGTAGTCTTCTACCCTCGTCGGGTACTCTTTCACCGCCGCCGATTTGTCCATAGCTTCTTCTCCTATAGATCAGGATCAACGACGATGTACGGAGCGGTGCGGTGGAGGATTGAAGTGCTGGCGAGGTGCGCGATGTGTGCGAGGAGGAGGACTAACACCATTAACGCTCATGATTGGTAGGGGGCAACCGCCGCCGCCGATTTGTCCATAGCTTCTTCTCCTACAGATCAGGATCAACGACGATGTACGGACTGGTGGAGGCTTGAAGTGCTGGCGATGTGCGCGATGTGTGCCAGGAGGAGGACTAACACCATTAACGCTCATGATTGGTCGGGGGCAACGAGTTGACTAATCTTCATCAGGTGGAGGGGATTGGATTGGACGGGACGGATGATGCCCACGATGAAGATAAGGTTATGGAATTTATCTTATGATAAGATAAGATAAGCCCGACGGTCGTCTTCTTCTGCTTCTGTTCGGTCGCCGTTTGCTAACTGGCTACCGTCTTCACGCGAATAGAACGCCCGGTCATCATATAGTAGCTGCATTTGGCCCAACTTTCAGTCCAGATGCAGCGATAATGACCGACCGGGCGTTCTATTCGTGTGAAGACGGTAGGCGATCTATGATTTGTTGACATCATCAGACGCCCTCCCACCAGTTTCTTCTCAGACGTCTACCGTCCGTCTTCTGCCCCCGAAAACAACCCCTGTGCTTATCGTCATGAATGTATACAAGCACCCTTTCCGGTCCGATACAGGTCATGCTCCCCACATCAATAGATGGAGCCTCCTCCGTCCCGGTGCTACCGTCTTCCCCCGAACACAACGCACCCTAAAAATGAATGTATACAAGCTATATTTCCGGCCAGGTACAGCCAAAATAAGGGTGCGTTGTGTTCGGGGGAAGACGGTAGTAGTGTCTGCTCTTGTCAGCACCACTCGCACGGGAGGGTAGTTACAAAAAAAAAAAAAAAAAAAAGAAAGGTCGTAATAAGGATGCGTTGTGTTGGGGGGAAAAGAATCCGGTAGATGACAGCAGGCACAATTTTCTGCTGAGGAGCTTTCCAGTCTTGACCCTCTTGCGCGTCTGTGGGTCTGTGGGTCTGTGCGTCCAGCACGGATGATACGGCCAGTCAGTAGTTTTCGGTCTTCCTTCCAACACAGGCCATCCTCATAATCAAAGTATGTGACCGGAAAGATGGCTTGTATACATTCATAAAGTACTCGAGGTGAACAATGTGTTCGCGGGAAGACAGCAGCCAGTTTTCTGCTGGGATTTTCGACCTTCTTGCGCCTCTGTCCATCGAGCCTACGGTAGATGCGGCCACTCGTACGCACCTGGACCGTTTACCGACCAGGTACCACTTTCAGCAACCGCGATGATCCGCTGACGTGTCTCTCCATCTCTCTCTTTCCTTTCCCGCACGATCTGTCGAAACGGTGCTGTTGCAGCTGATGATGCTGACGCTGCCGTCGTAGTTGGTCACCATGAGGAGCACCCGTAGCATCATGAGGAGGTGGAAGGAGATCAAGGACGAGGAGGAGGAGGAGGAGGAGGAGAGGAAAAGAGGAGGAGGGCGATCGGGGTGAGCGAAGACGTCGAGGTTGACGTAGATGCTGACGATGGAGGCGGAGGATCCCGCTACGACTCTGGCCATGCACGATTCGATTGCCCTCACTGTGACCGGATCAGATCCCAAACTCCAGGTTCGACGGCCTAATAAGCTACAGTCTTCCCCCGAATACAACGTCCGGTCATTATAGCTGAATTTAGACTGAAAGATACCCCAAATTCAGCTATAATGACCGTACGTTGTATTCGGGGGAAGACTGTAGTCTAGACTGAGACGGCTAAGCGAGAGGTCCTGTCCGCATGGAGGATTAAAGACAAGAGTAGCCGTCGATCTTCGTTTTCTACAAGACAGCAGGACAGAATCTCTGTATCTGGATCAGTGCGAGTGGGGGGGGACTTGGCCCTAGGCTCTTCTATAAATGACTCAGTCTTCCCCCGAATACAACGTACGGTCATTATAGCTGAATTTGGGTCATCTTGCAGTCTCAATACAACTTATAACGACCGTACGTTGTATTCGGGGGAAGAAGGTAGCTTACCTGTTGCGGCTTCGCCCGCTATGAAGAAGGATTTTTTGTCTTGAAAAGCACGGAGGTTGAGGGGTTTGGTGGGTCAGTGATGGCTGGATTAGAACTGACCTCACGTTCTCTCTCTCTCTCTCTCTCTCTCTCTCTCTCTCTCTCTCTCTCTCTCTCTTCCCCCTGTGTGTGTGTGTGTGAGCCTGTAAGTCTTAGTTCGGTGGGGGAAGACGGTGTGATGGAGAGGTTGCTCGGGGGTAGTTAGGGGAAGTCGCGGTCAATTAGAAGAGTGCCGTTGCCATTCAGCACGTCTTGGAATGTATGAGTGGAGTATTGTATTCCAGATCCAATATGATTGGCATTTGCTGTCCCGCGTTTTGATGGAAGCCGTAATGCCTGTCTCTTATACACATCTAGATGTGTATAAGAGACAGCTCTAACTGTGCAGCGTCCCCCCTCCCCCCTACCCTTTCCTTCCTCTCTCTCTCTCTCTCTCTCTCTCTCTCTCTCTCTCTCTCACACACACACACACACACACACACACACACACACACTCTCTCTCTCTCTCTCACACACACACACACATCTCTTATACACATCTAGATGTGTATAAGAGACAGCTCTCTCTCTCTCACACACACACACACACACACACACACACACACATACACACACACACAAACACTCTCTCTCTCTCTCTCACACACACACACACAACCAAAAACAAACTCACAAATAGCCCCAAACCCCATAAAGAAACGAAAGCAACAGACATAAATGACAAAGCAGATTTAGCTCACCTTCACTCGTCGTGGGCGGTCGTCCAAAAGCCTCGACGCAATGCGTAGCCCAAGCCTCAGCGTCCTACCTTCAGGATGCAGAGTCCACCCTCCAGCAGGTAAAAGAGCTTTCCAACAACTACTCCCAGTGGGTGTGTTTGGTGTGCACATGTTTGGGGCGCGAGTGTGTTTTGTGTGGGCGGGTGTGTTTTGTATGGGCGTTCTTGTGCATGTGAGTGGGTGTATGTGTGTGCGTGTGTGTGTGTGTGTGCGCGCGCGTGTGCGTGTGTGAGTGTGCTATCTGTGCGTGCGTGTGTGTGTGTGTGCGCGCGCGCGTACGTGTGTGAGTTTGTGCTCGTATGTGTGTGTGTGCCCAGCGCGCCCAGCGTGGGTGTTTCTCCACCCTAACAGCGAAGCCGAAGGCGACTATTTGAGTAGCCCAGTAGCGAAGTTAGCCAAGTCGAAGAGTAGCTGAGTAGCCAAGTCGAAGTCCGCGCCGGCTCCCGAAAGAAGTTTAGGTAATCAAAAAAGAAAAAAGAAAAAAAAGCTTCGGGCAGGCGCAACCGTGTACCGTTCAGATACCGTGTACCGGCCAGAAATGGGCCTCGGGAGTGCCGCGCGGGGCACTACCGGGCGCTCCCGCTCCCGATACCGATATTAACAGCCCGTCAGGGGTGCGTTTTCGCCCCCTGGGACATTTATTTCACCCCGGGGACATTTTCGTCGTCCTTCGTTATACCGGTCGTTGATTCGGGCGTGTTTGGTCGTTTGCATTCAACAACAACAAAAAAAAAAAAAAGGTTCGAAAAATGCAGCCTGCAGGCACGACACTTTGGGGGGTGGTGGCAGTTTCTTTGAAAAATGCGGGACACTTTGGGGGGTGGTGGCAGTTTCTTTGAAAAATGCGGGACGGGTAGCTGCCCGTGGGACCGCGCGCTGGTGCGCTGGTTTTAGGTCGAAACGGTGGCAAAGCAGCGGCAGGGTGGAAAAGTGGAAAGTTCGCAGCCTGTCAGGGGTGCGTTAGACATTTCCCCCGAGATTTTCATCGCCCTTCGTTATACCGGTCGTTGATTCGGGCTCGTTTGGTCGTTGGAAGGTTCAAAAAATGCAGGCAGGTGCAGGCACACCACTTTGGGGGGTGTTGGCAGTTTCTTTGAAAAATGCGGGACTGGTAGCTGCCTGTGGGACCGCGCGCTGGGTTTTGGTTGAAACGATGGCAAAGCAGCGGCAGGGTGGATCTTGGGGGGGGGTGGCAGTTTCTTTGAAAAATGCGGGACCAGTAGCTGCCCGTGGGACCGCGTGCTGGGTTTTGGTTGAAATGGTGGCAAAGCAGCGGCAGGGTGGAAAAGTGGAAAAGTCTGAATCGGAAAGGGCGCGGCCTTGGCCGCAGGTTGAAACGACACACCTGCATTGCATTTGCAAGTGCAAACAGATGTGTCTGAACATGGACGTATTCAACGCCCCACACGTTTAGCGCCCGATTGAGTGAGACACATGTGACAAAGCAACAAACACTCAAGCACACGCATCTACGACATATGGACCAAGATTCAAGGACCACCTGCCTCGACACCAGCTATGAATCAAGGTATGTCAAATATCTAATACATTAAGACCATACAAATTACCTAAATCCCACACATTCCAACACAAACAGATATGATAAACACAAACACCCTAAGTATCGCACAAACACACACACACTAATCATGACACATACACACAAATACTCATTTCTTTTCATGCAACAATCACCCTACTTCTAAACCTCACCAATAACGCCTCCTTTATCAATCAATCATATACAAACTACGGTATGTGCACCCGCGCCCTCACGGTAAGTGAATAGAAGTCTGCAGCCCGTCAGAGGTGCGTTTTCCCCCCTTGAGACATTCCCCCCCCTAGATATTTTCGTCGTCCTTCATTATACCGGTCGTTGATCTAGGCTCGTTTGGTCGTTGAAAGGTTCGAAAAATGCAGGTAGGTGCAGGCACAACAGTTTGGAGGGTGTTGGCTGTTTCTTTGAAAAATGCGGGGCCGGAAGCTGCCCGTGCGACCGCGCGTTGAGTTTTTCCCAACTTACTGATTGGTTGCTCCAACAATTAAAAATGAAATTTGAAATAACGTCGGAGGATTTCTGGATCAAATCATATGAGCAATTATACGACATTCTTAACAATAGCCCAAGTTTGGGAATGGTGTTGCAACAGGGTTTAACGTCTGGAGCCCTCTGGCTAGTGGTTAGCCAGAGGATGTTGCAGGCAGTAATTACCATGTTTC